CTGGCAGCACTGGGGTAGAACATGGATCTGGGGTAAGTATGATTTTTGTCTTAGCTACGGCTGATCCCAACATTATGCAGGCAAACACCCTTAATGAGAGATAGGGACAATAAATTCTGTGCCTTTGGGTGGGCAGTGGCATGTTGGTATTGGGGGAAAAATGCTTCACAGAAGCCAAGGCACTCATTTATTTTTCCATACATCTTCACATTTTCATTTCAAAATATAGCTTTTTTGTGAGCTGTCTGTGATTCCCATTCCAAACCTGAACAGCTACTGTGTCTCATGTATCATGTATATGTTTGCAGATCACACCCTGTTCTGAGAGCTGCTTTCACAGCATTCAGGATGTACAGCTGCAAATGGAAATGTAGGAGGGGTCAGCACTGAGGGGTTTGCATTTAGCATCAACTACTGGAATCCTAAAACTAGAAATCAGCCAGAGGAAACCAGCAGTGCTCTGCTTTGCATATGTTTATGGCCCAAGAGCAATTCCAAGGACCCAGGTCTGATTTCCCAATTCTATACATGCACGCCTGCAAATTTTTTCAATATCTCCACCAAGAAATATGTAGGCATCTGAGAGCTGGATTCAGATCTGAAATTAATGTTGACTTCTATCAATTAGGAGTAGACAAGTGCTCTGTGATCATTACCTTAACAAAAACAGAGCTTTATCTGTAGGGTTGAAAATTTGTGTTTGAATAGAACAATTACAAGATCTGCAAGTATATCCAAGTCTTACTGTTTTTAGTACAGAGAACTAAATTGAAGTTATATATAAATAAAAAATAAATAAAATAAATCTCATCCCTGTTATTTTATATCAGTGACAGAATTTTATTCCTGTTAAGATTACTTTGACTGTGACGTGAAACTGTGTGACATAAAGCAAATGAATATGGCTACAAACTGTCCATGCAAAATATGGCAGAAACTGAACCTTGTCAAGAGCCTTGCAGCTTGTCTGATTTGAGTTACAGACACTAATACAAGGAAAATATTTAATACAAGGAAAATATTGAACAATACTGAGAGAATTTAGTAGTACATGCATGAATTTGAGACCAACACAGTGAAGTTATGTAAAGCCTACAGCAAATTCATGATCATGAGTATTTACACAAGCTAACTAATCCAGAGCTTTCACCATCCAGCCAGACACAGAAACACCCAGCTGCTGTGGATGGTTCATGCAGGGTTTGTCTGGTGAACTTGGAATCCTTGCCATACTCCTGTAATCACTCTAGCAGTAAGTTCAGACAAACTGTTCATGAGCTGATAGCCTCAAAGCACAAAAGAAGCTTCAATCCTTTAGTCAAAAAGCATTTTCTTTCTTTTCTCCGAGGGCTAAGTGCTCTGTGCAAGTTCTAAACTATGAATAGCTCACCCTGCCTTCTAACCCAGGCTCCACAGTGCCATGGGCTGGCCCCATGGAACCGTCCCCACACAGCTCTGCCACTCAGCCACTGACCCAGGCACTCGCTGCTGCTCTCAGGGGGCCACTGTTAGCCTGGGTCTACTTGTATATTGAACAAATCCCTCTTATTTGTGTGTGTGAGAATATATTCACAAATGTGTTTTCTGTTATTTAGTCAGAGAACAGCAGACACGTGTTTCTGTGAATATAACTGTGTGATATCTGAATATCTCAGTGCTCTTTGGGATCATACTTAGGCCAGTTTGTCAAAATCTGGGGGAAATCTCTTCCTCTGCATCATTTCACCAATTAAATGTCTCATCCTTGTATTTGTTTTCTTTTGGAAGTGCAGCATAAACTTGGGTGCACTTGAGCCTCTGTGAGGTCCTGCTTTACTCATGGAAACCAAATTAAATGGATCTATTAGCCAGCATCAATCCACTTGGAACAGGTTTGACTGCAAGGTAAGTGTGAGGCCAGTTTCTGTACAACCCTTATAACATGTTCATATGGACAGAAGTCTCCCAAATTGTTTAATACTCTTGTATTTGTAAAACTACACAAATACAAAAAAAAAAAAACAAAACCTCAAACAGAAAAATAACCTGAACTCCTATTCTATCTTCACTGCAAAAACTGATCTTATGACTGGGCTTGTAAATGTTCTTCATCTTTTTGCAGGGCTGCATGGCAGCATATGGGACTTAGAATTCCAGTTTCAGGGTCCATCAGTGCTTAACATTTAACAAGAAGCTGACATTTTTCAGTCACATCTATTGTAAGTTTACACTTTCCCCCAGCTATCTCTGTGAAGGGGACAGACACTGTATTAACAGCTCTATGTATCTCCAGGTACTTTGAATCCCTTTCCTCCCACTCCATTCTTCTATCAGGCAACGAGCTCAGGTCACACTCTTCTCAGTGGCCCAGCACATGAGTCCGTGTTTAGAGGCAGAAAATCTGAATCTTCACACTCCTGACCTTATTGTTTCACAGACTATTGATTGCAAGTCATCAGGGATCAGCCTCTGGAAGAGAAAAGCAGAAAGAAGGAATGAACCCATACACAGGACCAGGGCTCAATTGCAACTGGACTGACAAAAATGAGACAGATGTAATGTGGCTACATAGTAGTGAAAAGAGTGTCTCTAATCTCTCATGTGCAACCAGAAGTTTGCAGAACACCACTGTGCCCACACGGCCTGCAGGGAAGGGAGTGCTGGCAAGGACCACAGCAAAGGCTGAGCAGGGCAGGTGTTCACCTCCAAGGGCTCCACATGGAGCAGAAGTTCTGGTTTTTTCCCTGTGGACCCATGTCCACCTTATGCTTTGGAGCAGAGACAGCAAGAGGCAATCCCTGAAGCAGAGCCAGAGTGGACAGCCATGTGTAAACACATCCTCCAGCAGAGGACACACCCTCAGCCAGAGCCATCCCTTTTCTCTTCTCACAATCAGGTGAGCCCTCATTACAAGACATCCAGCAAAGAACTCACTTCACCTCACCAGCACCCCTCAGCTCTCCCTAGAAAAAATTTCATTTCCACAAAAAGGGTCAATGAAGCTAAATTTCTAAATTTATGTATAGCTTATGAAGGTTTAGACTAACAGTCACAGTTTGGAGAAGCATACCTTGGTGGGTTGTGAGGTGACCACACCCAGGGAGGCAAAGATTTCGTTTCAGATAAGCATTGTTAAAGTGAGAGGCATGGCTTTAAAGCCTAGGAAGAGTAAATTCCATCCCTCTGCCTCAGGGGATGGGCCCTGTGAGCCCAGAAAGAACGGGCCCCTCATGGGGTGGCAGCCCAGGGTGTTCTGAATGGGTTTGAGCCCATGGGGTTTCTCCCTTGCTGTGTCTCTTCCTGACCTTAAACTCCACCCTGGTTCTGTCCCATAAAACCCACCACCCTGCCTCTGTTCAGGCCTCTGTGTCTCTAAGCTGAGTTTGTTCCTGTGCTGAATAAATGGTTTCCTGAGATTAACCAAGCAGAAACCCATCTCATTGAGTCCCATATCAGTCACCAGAATCCATAACCTCCCTGGACATGATCCTGCAGCTGTGGAACGCAGCAGTGGATTTATTAACAACTGCTTTTCTTCTACTGATCTTAATCATTTGTGGTATTGCATGCAGTAAGAAGAACTTGGAGACATCAGTTATGGTACTTGGATTCACTCATCAGGGCTTTAGAACTCAAGTGAGGCTGCGAATTTCAAGTGTATTTTTTGATAAACTATTTGCAAAAGAGATGTATTCCAAATGTTTGCTCATTTAATTAGAACATAAAAGATTTTTCTCTTTGACTGGAGCTTGCTTCTGACCCTTCTTGCCTGTGTGTGGTTTGTATTGTTCTTGGCTAATGAGATACAGGATATGTACTAAACATTTACACATTAAAGGCATCCTTCATTCAGCATGAAGGTGTTGATACATCAAGGATACCTCAAACATGCTGAGATTCCAACAACTTGTCAGACAAATTAGCACCTTACCAATTGGGGGTAAAATTGAGTTTCACATTTCTCCCTGGTGGGAAGAAAAAAAATTAAAAATCACTGTAGTTTAATGCTTTCTTTGCAAATAGGAACACAAAAGGCTTTATCACCTCTGTAGTGTAAATTATAGCCCTCACCAACTATTTGATTTTTAATTTATTGGTTTTAAATGATCCCAGGCAGCTCAGAGCAAATCCATTGTATGTCACTCCTCTCTTAGAGCAGACTTCTTCCCTCTTTTAATTTCATATCTTTAACTATTGTTTAAAATTTACACTTCAATATTAAAACTGAAGAAAATTGATGTCTCAGATCTGTGTTTTTCACTAGGGTATAACTGCCAGGGGGGTTTAATCTAAATTATAAGGAGTGTGTGACTGTGTATGGCAATGAAACTAAAAAGGTCAATTTTTTTTATTTTTTTTTTTCTTTTTTTTGTTGACTAGGGCTTAAAATTAGTGCTCGGTGCTTCAGATTGATGGAACTCTCCATGAGACATTCAGAGCCCCAGAAAAACCTGCAGTCAGATAATCCAGACTGACCAGGTACCCCAAAGGAATAACTGGGCTGGGAGTAGGTGCTGTAGAAACTACAGGAACGAATTACTATCCTTTACCTCTAAGCTGCAAATCATTTATATCCAGGAGAGATCATGGCATAAATTCTTGGGGTTTACTATCATAAACCTCTAAAATAGGAATTGTTTATTCATCAAAAGGTCTTGCTTTAACTTACATACCTGACCATGACCCAGTCATAAACATGTATTTTCTAAGATTATGAGGCCAGTCAAACAACATATAATCAAAGCAAGAGAGAGCCTAAGGTTTCATAGAGATTAGTTATAAAACAAAATTTCCCTTCAGCAATGTCTTCATTCTCAAATATCTCAAATTTAGCAGATTTATATATATATATATACAGGATAGACATTTGAGGGGGATTTGTTTGCCTGGTTAAAGCTGCTTCCAACGCCTTTCAGAAGAAATTTTCATCACACGAATTTTATTATCAGCCCTTCTAATTTGCCATTAAACCCTAATACCTAAAGAAGACATACATACATCCCTGCTCCATACCTGGGTGACTGCTCCTTGGGACTGTTATCCTATGACCACAGCTTCTCCTTTACTGGGACAGGACACCTTAACTGGTGTTCAGTGCACAATCATCACTGCTCCATGATTCAGAATCATATCAAACTCATTATGGAATAGCTTCCTGGGAAAAGAGTGTTACCAGAAGCATGTCTTTAATTCTGAGCTGCCCTTTCCTTCTCTGCAGGTATGTTTTTCAGAGTTTTCAGCACAAAAGGTGAGTAGATCTGTTAGTGCTCAGCATCCACGACCAGGCTGACATGGGCTGAAGCACAGATATGGGATTGAATGCTGACAGTTTGGGCTTTGCACAGGTATGTCAGATTTGTAAACCAGAATCTTATACAAAGAACTTCATATAAATATCTGGAGAAAATCAAAGAGTTCTATTTTTCATAGTTCATGTTTGTGTGGAACTTAGAGCAGTGCCCCTGCTCAATAACACATATCATATACATTAAAACACTTGCACCAGTTTTCGCTTTGAGGGGAGAAAATACCCCAAACACATCATTAATAGAGACTTTTTTCCATACATATTTATGTATTTTTATGTCATTTTACATACGTGATTTATAATTATGTAATTAAAAGGATTATAAATCTGTAGATAAGTGTTGGCATTTGACTGAAACACTAATGGCAAGCATTAACTGCATGTGGTCTGTTGTGTGGCTACTGGAATCAAGTAGTGAAGAGGATCACAGTTCCTTATTAGTTAGGACCACCTAGAGTGTTGGAAAGCTTGAATGATCAAAGAGAAGACAGTTTTATGCTGCAAATGTTGATATACTCCTGAGCTTTCCAAGTCATTTTAAGGTCCAGTGTGAACACTTGACATGCTAACTACTGAGCAGGAAAATGAGTGTAGTATTAGACTACAAAAGTTTTGTTTGCCTCAAAGTGAATAATATTCAGTGTTATATTCCAGTCCCTTATTTGAGCACAAAATAGTTTTGTATTAGTACCAGAGCTCAACAACTTATCTTTGTCTACCTTAAGCAAGAATAAATTAGGCTTTCTTGCTAATAACAGCACATGAAGGAGTCTATCCTGCTTTGTCAGAGTATTCACAGTGATCACGTCTTAATTAGGATGAAAAAATTTCATTACTTTATTTCTTTGTAAGAAATAGATTAATCCAGAGTGATTGTTTGTTTTTCATAATTTTGTCATAAAGTCCCAGGGAATTGTTTCTGTCTTGTCCAAATAGCTCAAGTGTTTCAGAGAGGATGAATGTGTCTCTGCAGAATTGTTGGTCATGAAAAGTACCTCATGAAGGTACAGTTCTTCCTTGAAACACACTTGTGAACAAAACTCATGTTCCCATGAGTGTAAATGCTAACAAAAACATGATTGAAACAAGCTCTGCTTTGGAACTGATGTAAGAGTGAAGAGTGAGAATTGTCTTGCAGAATTCAAGTGGCTCTAAATTCTCTAAGCACAGCTTCAATGTATTTACATATAAATTATTTTGAAATTATTTTGTTTGTTGCTTTTCAGACTCCAGCCTTTAGGTTCTTCAGGTTATGGCTTTTTATTTTTGGATTCATCAAATAAAATCTGCTCTGGATACAGAAAAGCCTTATCATTCAAGTGACAGGTGCTGGAAAATAGTCTCTGTTAAGAAACCTGAACACTGATTTTAAATTCTATCTCAGAAAAAACCCCTTAACTTCTGATTGAATAAGAGTAGTGATCTCCTCTGAGAGAATTTTCACTTAACATGACTGAAGGACATAAGCAGGAGACACATGCAAATTCTAAAATAACAACCTGATGCTCCCACTGAGGGTGAGTTTTAATAAAAAGTTTCATCCTCCTTACATATCAAAGCTTTTCACAACTCTTGACCTGATAACCTCTAAATTCTCTAAAATCAATAGTTTTAAGGTGTTAAGCACCTTGGTATAGCAGGTACATTTTTTTTAATATTTAATATATTTATGGGTTTTATTTATACAACATATAAATACTTATTATTAATTAACCATAGAATATATTTAATTTTTTCTCACTAAATAAAAAGCATACACCAGCTGGAAAAATATTGCCAGATATTATAATACAAAGGTTCTTTAAAACCTGTAAACAAGTAGATCATTCTCAATATAAAATGGACAACTGCCTAATCAGAAAAGTTGTCCCTCCCTCCTTGCCAGTATATAAAATCCATTTTCTCATTCCTAAAATGTCAGGATGAACATCTTGACAGAAGTTGAAGACAACAGAGCTGTGTGCATGGTCATGTGCTCTACTACAAAGTCAGAGTCACTTCACAAATCCTTGAGCTAGGTGTAAAGATGCCTCAATCTCAATGGAGTTTGCTTTTTCAGACCACTTAATCCTGTACAAAACTACTACAGAATCAGGAATGACACAAAAATTCTGCACTTTTGAAGGCACAATGACAAACCTGGTTTAGAGTTCAACTAGAAAACAAAATATCCTTGTTCAAATTTGAGGAATTAATTTAACTTTTTTGAAGAAATTGGGGGCTGGGACTATCAACTTTGAACCATCCCCATGTTTAAGGTTCAGACCTCATTAGTTTTGGCTAGGAATATTCTCTAATTACTAAGAGAGTTTCCTCAAGTTGCACTTTAGAAATTCATCTTTTTTGTAAGCTGTAAAGTATTCATAAAAAGCTGAAAACTGTGGGAAAATTAGCATTGATGGATGTTTTCTTACCCTCCATCAGGAAATGATGTACTTGAAACTCATTACAGATCTTCACAGCAACTCTGCTGAATGTGTCTTGGGCTTTGTGCTGATCAGCACACACAGAATTTACTGCATAATTCATCTCTCTTGTGTCACATTTAATGTATAACATGTAGTTCCTGTTAATTATGAAAATAAGAAGGCGTCCTTTCTCTTGGAAACATAATCATGAAATTACTACAGAAATTAAGAAACATGGAGTTCTATATTACCTCCTGCACAGAAATAGGAGGAAAGCACTGCAGTGAGAACTCACCAAACATGATTTTCTTCTTGATGCACCAGGCACAGCCTCTCCCTCTGGCCACACAAGGACAGGTGCACGGATGGGATCCCTGTTGTCCTGCCAGGGTCACCATGCTCAGTGGAGCTGTGGTTTTGCATGTGGTCCCCTTAACTTTCTTCCACTGAGGGAGATTTGGATGTTTTCATGTCTTTTTTCATGGATGTCAATGAAACATTAGGCATCCTGTATCTCATTTTCCTCATTCAAGGTTGAAGATTATTCAGTAATATTCTACTTCACTTCACCCATCCATCTCTATGTGTCTGTTCATCTTCCCCTACTAAAAGAATGAAGAAACAAAAATCCCATCTCAGCATCATATCCTCACCAATATATTTTATGAGTTATGTATTATCTGCCACCAGGGTAGGAGAGGGAAAGAGTGAAGTGATGGAGCAGGAGAAGGAAAGAAGCAACACCATAAATCTGAAAACATACCATTATTATTTGGAATAAGAAGGGGGCTCATCTGTACTCAATGGTACATTTGGCCTACACATTTTCATTGACACACTGATTATTTCCCTTTGGAGAAACAATCTGGTGCTGGGATTATTTGCTCTGCTGCTGTTTCTCAGGAAAGTTTGATGGGGCCCTTGGAGACCACACATTATCTCTCACTTATAGGGTGGTCCCATAATTCTCCCTTTTCAGAAACTTTCAGGTGATATTCCCTTTTGTCTCCTGCCCACATGAAAATCTTCATTCATAATTGTTAGGATCAGTAAAGCTGACAAGCTGCCTAGAGCAATAGAAAGTTGTGTTATCAGTAATAGTGCTGGTGATCTCTAGAGAGACAAATGAGTCTGGATAAAAAGACATCAGTACTGGCTTTCAGGAACCAGGGTAAATATCCATTTCCCCACCTGAAGAAATACCTGGGCCAGAACCCCACCGAAACAGCCCTGCAGGACAAGAGCACACCTTTGGTAGCATCTTCTCCAGAAGGTTTAAACTTCACTGTTCCTTACACAGATACAAATAATTTTACTGCCAGAGTTGGTGGTTAAAGTGGTCTGGCTGTTAAAAAAAAATGGCCTGAGGGAAGATTTCATTCTGACACAGTTGATCACTCTAAGAAACAAAAATAGCCCTGGCAGGAGGAATTTAGGTGTTTTTAATCTTCTCCTTCAGGGTGTCGTTTAAGATCGTGTGAGCAAAGAGTACACTTAGCATTAGTTATTGTAGTATCTGAATTTTTTATGGCATACTTAAACATCAGTTCCTGGAGTCACATGGCTGTAAAATTATCCAGTGCACATTTTTAAAAAATACTCTATTCATGATGGTGGGAGAATTTATGAAGTGATTTTCAAAACCAACAAGGCCAGGAAGGCCAGACATACCAAATGTAGTCACTAAATTGCAAAATCATGGCTTTGAAGTCAATCTCATGATGTCTAAATACTTAAAACATATTTTCTTGAAGTGTAGGATGGCAATGCTGCAGTTTTGGGGACATAACTTTTACCACTCCAAAATCAAACATACCTCTTAAAATCAGTGGTATAAGCTGTCACTCTTGCCTTTACAGATGGCTGGACAATGCCTCTTCAGCCAATTCAGGTGAAGATGCAAAATGCTTCTGAATAATGTAAGCAAGCATGAAACAAGCTGAAAAGAGAAAATATCATGGAATATTCTTTTATAAAATTCAGGGCATAATATTATCATCTTACAATAGAAGCTTTTCCCATCACCTTAGCATTACACCTCAGGGCAAATTCATAGATTTTTTTTTTTTTTTCCAAAGGTATTGATTCTTTTGTATATCCTAAATGAGATGTAAGTTTGTTTGTTTTTTTTTCACACCTTTAGCTTTAAGGTTAGGACCCTTGCTTTAGAACAGTCCGTTTTATCATTACTTGCTGCATTTATTTTATATTTCTTGTGTTCTTAAGGATATTTTGCCATTAAAATTTATTTTGTCACTTTTTGTCTATTGAAAGTTGGTTTAAAACATTAGGAAAAAAAAGCAATAGAGTTATTGAGACACATTACATGCTCTAGGTCCAACTGCTCAAAATGTTAACAATTTTTCCTTCCAAGCCCACATATTTCACTAAACTTTGTCTTCTTCTATTTCTCATCCTTGGGTTTCTTTCACTCTTTACTGGCATAAACAGAGAGACTGATATTCTTTGAAAATATATCTGCACTGATCATTTGTTCTTGAGGTACAATATCTTATTTGCAAGAATATTTTATATAAGAGCTGAATTATTGATAGACAGCCTTAACATAACATTTATGGCAAAATATTCAACTATATTCAACTGTATTGTATTACTTTGAGGTCAAGTGATGGAAAGTTTGATCTTTGTAGCTTTGATCACAGAGATTCAGAAAATTTGACAAATCAAATTGAATCTGTCAGATCAAAATGTGCACTTTCTTAGTTTTGCTGAGGAAGGACTCCACCAATTTCTAAATTTAAGAGGGAAAAAAAAGAGTCTGTTCTCTCTGTAGAAATAATGCAGCTCTTCATGTCCCAGTCTTTTAAAGCTGAGAATTCCTGGTCAATAGAATTACATTGCTCCAAAAGAAAGCATATAACATAGGTTCTACAAAATGAATGCACAAGGGAATTTTAAATATAATTTGTATGAAGGCTTCTCAAAAATAAAATTTTTCAACATTCTCCAAAATTTCTGTCAGTATACTTATCAGCCTTATTGTAGAAAGACACACTCTGAAGATACTCAGCCTCAAAGAATACCAAACAGCATTTTCCAGATGTGTCATCCCAGGTCTCCAAAACCCCCATGCTCTCTCCTGGCTCTAATTTAAATTTTCCATTGATAATCACTATTGAGAAGAACAAAACTCATGGCCTGATTCTAAAGCCATGCAAGGTTTAACTCTGGCCTTTTATCTGAAAAGATTGCATAGGTGCAATGGTGCTGGGTCAGACCACAGATCCATGTCCTGGGTCCAACAGTTATGAACAGCTGAGCACCATGGAAATACCTATGGAAGGGCCCTTTTTTAGGTCAGCTGAGGATAAGAGTCAAAACTATCCCTAGCACCCAGTGCTGCAATTTGCTTTAGTCCCCCATAAAGCATTGCTAAGATTATTCACGCAATGTTCTACTCAAATTATTGGACAGATTATTAAAAACAATAAACCACTATAAAAAATAGAATTTTGCCAGATTTTCTCAACCCATCAAAGGGCACTGCACTTCTCCTGAATGTGTAACTAGGCTTTTATATGATGGAGTTTTGGCACAACTGTTTCATAGGACTTACAGTAAAGCAAATCTTCTCCTAGATCCTTAGCATCTCACCTTGAATCTAAAGACTCCTCAATGCAAAGCTCCTCCCAAGTCAATTTAGTTGTTTTCTCTCTATATCACACTTTATTGCCTCTGTGCTTCTCTTAAGAATGATAAAATTATGTGGAGGAAGCTGATTGCTGATACCTGAAAGGGCTGCCTCAGTATGGGTGGGATTTATTTCCATAACAAACAGTCAGAGAACAATTGAGCAACTATTTCAGCATCCTTTACTCAAAGGAGGAGTACTACCAGAGGGTTAGATAAGAAGGAATCCAAATTTCACTATCAAAATATTTAACCATAAACTAATGTCTCCTGTGCCAGAACTGTGTGCTCTTCCTCTTAGAACTGCACATCAGCATGCATCACAGAAACGAAACAGAAGATGTTTCCAAATATAGAGGTAGAGCCATTGTGCTTTCAGCTGTCTTCCTGGACTGCAGACATACATTATAACTGTAGACAGAAATCCTTCTAAAATACCTGACAAAATTGGGGATGATTAAAATTTTAAATAATGAGCATATTCAAAATTTTTATGGCTGATACTTGAAAGATGCAGGGCAGGGAAGATGGAACTGTTAGCAACATCACTCCTGCTGCATGCCCTTTCAGATAAATCCCTGTAGAGAGTCCAGCTGGATGTCTGCAGAGGAATTTGACACTGACATCCCTGGTAGTCATTCAGTGGGTGCTGGCTGACGAAAGATACTGAGTGCTTAGAGTAAGAATCCTGTTGAAAACCCATGGCAGCTTTAAAAACAAAACCAGGTAGTGGTTTCCAAAAAGGAACCAAGTATATTGTGAACTCGATACTCCTCGCAATTTATAGTTCATCTTTAATCTGTGAACCCACCCACAAAACAATTGCTAGTTGATTTTCATTCTATGTCTTGTTGAAAGAGAAAAGGCAATCGGTGATATGATGGACTTTGACTGTTAGAAATATCTGCGCCATTTGGAAGTGGTGGAGGGATGGTATGAGCTGGTTGTTTAGGACCATCGGTCCTCAACATACACCATACTAAGATTAATTTTTAGTTGGAAGAATTGGTTATAAAGGATAGGTTTACATTATATTTATCCATTTTGTTTTGAATATACATGACAAAGAATAACTTCTCTAAGATCCATGATGACAGTAACTAAAAAGAAAAATATTAGAATTGAAAATGGACCTAACCTCAGAATTTGCATGGATACAAAATTCAATATCCCCTGAATTACCAAAACATATGTCTCTGTGGCTCCCTGAGCCACTATTTTCACCAGGTTTTGGAGTCCTGGAGATGAGATGAAAATCTCATTATTCCAATCCAATGAGTGTAATCTCCTCACTTTTCCAGTAGGAAAACAGCCACTAGGGGATACCTTTAACCTGATTCCAGAGAATATTGAGAAATAGTCAATATTAAATAAACTACGGGGTGGTCTTGTATAAGCACTGAAAAGACAAGTTCAGAGTAACTGTAACTGTAAAATGTCAATATCTTATTGATGTTACATAATTTTGCAGATATGTATACTGGGAAAAAAAAATTGTGGAATGCTCAGGATTATTAAATTTCACTTCACACCACGGTGTGAAGGATTACAATATCTTGCCATTTACACATACATCTGCTTATTTATCAAATTTAGATCTATTTCCTCTCATTTGTAACTGTATTTCTTGATCTTATTTGGAATTTCAGAAACAGGAAAGCCTCTTGCTCTTCTTGGGTTTGTTGTGCTCATTTCACAATGAAGATTTAGTTTTTATTTAAACTGGATGGCCCAATACATTCAGTTCAGTTGCTAGATTGAATGTCACTGAGTTGTCAAATGCCTGTTATGAATAGTATACAGAAGGAGAACAAGTCAACCTTGAACTTGCTAAACGTTTTATGAATACTACCCATTTCTAGAAAAATATTAATCTGTTTTCCAGATTTGCTCTTTTTGCTTTCCTTAAAGCTGTTCTCAGTAACAAATGCCTTTTATCATACTGAGCTGCTGTTACATGGAAGGTTTGGGAAGGAGAAACAACATTCTAATGATGAATTTAATACTCGTGGATTGTAGAAGATTGATTATATTGCAAACTGAATTCCTGGACTTAGCCAAAGGCTATTAAGAATATTGTGGCTATACTGCCACCCTTGCTTCCTAAAACCTGTCAAATTTTGTTTTACAGTTGTCCATTGCTGGGCTGAAATGGTCTTGGTGACTTTTCTCTTAATTGCTATTTTCATTGCTAAGCAGACTGGATGATGCTATTTGAATAGAATTAATAAAAACAATCATGTTTTTGATCTATCCACAAACACATGCCTTGTTTCCAAAGATTAGAACGTGGCCTTAGCGCCTCCAGCTGACATTGGAAACACAGAACTCTCGTCTGTACACCAAAGAAAACAACAGGAAAGGGGGGAAGCTGGTGCTCCAGGAACCAGGTTGTAACCAGCAGAGAAGCACTCTAAATAGAATTAATTTAAGACACTATGTTCGGTACTGGATTTTGATCAAAAAGTAAAAAATAGCAGCTAATTTACTCTGCCATGAAATACATTGGTTCCTTTTCAAAAGCTACTTTCACCTCTTTCAGAAATTGTGGGCAAAGTGGTTTCTAGCTAATACATAGTTTTAAATGTTGTTTTGAAAGCCTCTTCCATGATAGAGTTCATAGCAACAGCTTCTGCTACTGCTTTAAGAGCACAATAAGGTTTAATAAGAAGGATGCACTTCAATTCATAGATTGCTTGTTTTCTGCTTTACTGTATTCATCATAATCTTTACCTATGCTTAGTTAAAAAAAAAAAAAAAATCTGAAATAAAAAAGGCAGTGACCAGTATTGATCTTCTCTACTCCACAGCAGGTTGCCTTGATCTGGATCGAACCTGTCTCTGTCAGTAACGTCTTTTTCAGGAGACAGTTCTATTTAAAATGTTTCACAGGGCATCTAGTTATTTGTTCATTTGTCAGGAATGGTGGAAGAGACTATAATAGACAAGCAGCCTCAGCTGGCTGCTGGCTGTAAGACTAGATCCGGTCATACCACAATGACAGAATAAGTATATACTTTCTGTGCTCTGTGGAAAACAGATTTATGATACATCTTGACCTAAAACTTATTAAAAGTCCATTATCAATATTAATTGAAATTTAGAATTTCCTTAGGAATTTCATTGCAAACATTTTTACTCTAATATTGATTTTGAGGTTAAGAATGAGAGGTGAGTGGCATGGGCTGCAGTATGGTACACATGACAGCTATCAATTCCACACTGCAAGATCTACTTTCCAGTTGAATGTAAACAGACATGTTTTCCTGCAGAGCATGTGTCCCATC